ATGCGGCGAAGAAGTATCATTTGTGGTGCACGATTCACGCCGGCCTTTTGTTTTGAGGTGAATTTCAATTCAAAAGAAGAAGAGGTCTTTTGGAATGGAAAATTCCCGAAAATATGTACGTTTGGTTTTTTTTTTCTGATCGAATAGGTCGTGTAGTGGCGCGGCTCATTCAATTTGAACTGTATGACACTCGAAAATGATATTCACACTCGCTAGCGCTTGGTCGGTTGAGAGCAAGCGCGAGCACACGATTAATTAACCAGGAAAATAATTGTTGTGATGAAAAGTATTTACCATCGAATTGTTGTTGGATATGAGAATTTCAAGTACTCTCCGAGACAACGGAATGGAATAAAGCAAATTGTTTGTCGATGAACATTTAACGAGCTGCGCTCAAGCTATGATGCGCACTTTTTTTAAGGTTTTAATCTGTGCAAATTTGAAAGTATAAACACGTTTTCGAATCGTTTACAGCCAATTATATTACACAAAATCAGCCATTTTCTATGCGCGATCATTTTGATTTGAAAATTGGCAATAAGGAAACTGAGAGAGTGAGAGACGTCGGCACACGAAAGATATAGGCATATCGATACATCCATTAATCATTGTGGTTCAATTGCATCGACTCTTTCAATATTGTCTCTACGATTCGCGAGAGACTCGCTGTTTTATTTGTATAAGCACCAAAAAACCAAACAATCTTCGACTATATTCGAGTTTCAATGATCGACGACGAGCAGAAAGGAAACAAGTGAAATGGAAAAAAAGCGCTCAATTAATCAAATCCGCCGAAGAAAAAACGACGAAGAATAGAAAGGAAAACGATAGAGGAAGACAGAAGAAAATCAAACTGAAAATAAGTACGAAAACACATTAGCACATTGAGTTCAATTCCAATAGAAGAAAAAAAAAGCACGTAATTATCGATGAAAAGAAGGAAACAAGCGACGAAGACGATGATGATGACGACGACGAGAATAGCATGTAAAAAGTCGACTCAAATTGCCAACTAAAGTAGATTTAGATTTAATGTGTTCATTTCTATTTAGTTTTGTTATTTTGCGGTGGTTCTAAGTTGCAGCACTGCATTCGGACGGCATTGTTTGCGTGTGAGTTTGCATTGTTTGCGAATATTCTTACCGCATTCTCATTTGTTGCTAAACAGAATCGGCCCAGCGACGGATTATTATCATTACAAATTAGCTGCACTTGGGTGATCACCAAACACATGTACACATCATTCAATTGTTTTGGGCGATAGATGCGCGCGAGACGCGACTCTCCTCTCCGTCTCTGTGCTCGCTTTTACGTCGCTCGCAATGGCGTAAAGTGTAAATTCTTGCAAGGCACATCGCATGTTACGCTAGGTCTCAGCATAAATCAGACATGTCTTTGCATCAGTTTCAATCATTTATTTCCCATCAGGCCTCGGCAACAGCAGCAGCAGCAGCAGCAGCAACAAGAAGAAGAGAGGAAAAAAGTACTTTGCATACTTTTAGCAGTGATTGCGATGTTGCAAAGTGTGAGATAATTTGATTTTCCTTTGTCGACGACGCAAAACCAGCAAAATTAGTTTTCATTAGAAGTTGCATATTAACTCATTACAGAATTGAACGTGCCGCGACGGAACCGAATGAAATCGATATATGCTATGAAAATCGAATGCACTGCAGCCGCCGCTGTCGTCGTCGCGGCATACGTTTACTGAATTCCACATCGAATGAGAAATGACATTGATGACCATCACTTCGTCACACATAACTGCAATTCCGCATTCAACATGTGAATGCTTGAAGAAGAAGAAGGAAAGAAAAAGATCATCCATGGATGAACGCTTGATTGAAAAACGATTTGGTTTCATTTAAACCAATTTCTCATTTTTCTCTCTCTCTCTCTCTCTCTCTCTCTCTCTCTTGATCTATTGACGGCATTATGCAAGAAATAAAAATGTAAATCGTGTAATTGATACACACCGATGGGAAAATCGAATCTTATTGAATTCACAAAAATTATTATGTGATGTTATGAGAAAAATGCGGTTGTGGCTACATTGGAATTCGATATCCATTTTGCAGAATGATTCTGAGGCGAAGCCGAACGCAAAAAAAGAGAAGAAAAAAATGCGTTAAATTGGAAATGAACGAGTTTTCCTAGCCGACGCTCGTTGATTAAACTTCAATGATTGTTCAGTTGAAGAGCAAATCATACGAATTTCATGTGTGCGAATCAAAAGCAACGATCAAACATATCCATTGCCCGGGAAAATGAAATGATAGAACGAACCAAAAGAAAAACTGAATCAAACAAATAATCCGTGATCACCCCGGGCCAATAAATGAACTATTTTCGTTCCTCTCCGCTCCAGCTGCTGCAACGTCGGTTTGCTTGCATTGCGTTTCTCTTTTTTGCATACTTTATGTCGTCTGTGCATAACAATAACAATCATAGTGTTTATGCACTCGTGCGATTTTCTCTTTGTTATAATCGACATTCTTCTCGCAACGAACGTACTTTAACATGAAGTCCAATCAAAAATTCAGCTCGACATTCAAATAAGCCAACGAGTGAGCGAACAACGGGGCATGAGTAATCAATGTGCGAAGAGCTCGGTTCGGTTCGGTTCGGTATGGTTCGACGCCGTTTCATGTGCATTCGATGCAAATGTGATCGCTGTGGTGCGCGTTCTAATGTGATATATTCTGTTATGTGACTTATTCGAAGTTGAGAGTTCCTTGTTGAACCTCGTGATTTGGTTCGGTCGTGGAATATCTCAGTGAATTTTGGTTTTGTCGTTTCTGATCGACTGTAGCAGTTCAACTTTTTTTTGGAACACAGTCGATATATGCGAAATAGAAACAAAAAAACTGGCAGACCGTTTTTATCGAATGTTTTGCTCGATTTAAAACGCAAATCGATGCTCATGCTGTTCACCCATTCTGAAAAAGCCATGATACTTTAAAATCGCTGGTTCAATTAACCTATGCATTACAATTTTGGGCACAAATCGTTACTACAGCATAATTTATTGTCTATTACGATGGCTTCGATCAAACGATGCAACAATTTGTTTGTTGTAAATATTTTGTTTTTTCTTTTTAATTCGAAACTGAATTTGCGACCGGTTGGTTTGGGGCTCATTTTGGTGAGTGTGTGTTTGTCGATCGATGAAATTGAATTTTCATACAAGAGTAGAAAACGACAAGCGCGAGACGAGACGAGACGTAACAACGACAACCATCATCGTCGTTGTTGCAAATTAAATTGATTTTTATTGATGCATAATACGTGAACGTGTGTCGTCTCAGTGCTGTGTGCGCGCGCAAGATGTAACTACTGTTGCCGTTGCTCGCTTGTCAATGCAAATGAAAAACTGCGATGACAAACAACTTTTAATTTGATGTGGCTTTTTCTTTTTTTCTTAATGAGCCCAACTCGAATTATGCAAAGTAGTTGCGGTTGTGAAAGGGCTTTTCTCTTTGTGAATCGCGCGCACACACACACACGCACGCTCGCTTGAAATTGACGGAAAAAAGAATTCAACTTAATGCACTTTTAATGAATTACTTTTCAGCCATAATATTTAACGGGCGTTGATCGATTCTATTTTCCGGCTACTCTTGCCTCAACTTCGCGATGCTAATGACCGGTTTTTTTCGGGTATGAAATGGATCGAAATCTGAAACTGTAGATCATTTGATTTAATGTGTGTTCAAGGCAAGTGTGCTGTGGCTCAAGTAGGTTTCATTATCATTTTGATGTGCGTTTGTATTTGTCGGATGAACCACATCACAATACAGAAGCTGACTTGAAACGGTCGTTCCGTATTTTAAGCTATTAAATTCAATTCTATCCAATTGGATTTGAATGAACTTTTACCCCAATATAAGGTGCATTTCCCGAAATATTGCCGACCAACCGGACCAACTTATCCAAATCGACAAATGTACACAGCGTCGTTATTGAAACACTTTGAGATGATCGGTGAATAGTACACGCAATAAAATTAAAACCCATTTCGATTTGTGTGTGAGTGTACGTTAATCAGTCTTAACAAAAAAACACACACACACACACACACACACACACACACACACACACACACACCGACGGACGGAAAATAAAGTGATCGCACCAAACAGTCTAAATGCATGTGCTTAATCAGCAGAACTAGAGCCAAAACATACCATCTATAATTTAGTTGTAATTATCTGTTCACTTTTCAGACTTTTCCATTATAAGCATGTGCGTGTATGTGTTGGGTCGCTGACTGCTTTTCTCTCTCTTAGCATTCACTCAACGTCTTGTCTTATCCCCATACGTATATAAAACACCAACTTCGTGCTATTATGTTATTATTACAAATCTTGAAAGTATTTTTTGATTAGATTTTTAGCCGTGCTTCTTCTTGTATTTCGAGTTAAGACATTACTCAACGAGCCAACCGTAGTGTTATTCATTCGAACATCAATTTCAGGGTTCCACTTTGTTTTTCGCACATCTAGAGCTAACGCGCGCGCATTAAAGTTCATTGGATTTTGATGTGTGTTCTTCTTTTGGTTTTTTGTGTATGTTTCGTGCGTACATTCATCTGAATGTTCTTGAATCGAAGCAGCGAAACCTCATCTTGAAGAATGGTTTTATTCTGCTATTTAATTGGTAAAAATTAAGTCTTTTTTCTGCTTGAGACGATTAAAAAAATAGTGCTAATTAAATCTCGTGGTGGAAAAAGGCGGCGGATTCGTCATTCGAGTGTGATCAAATCGAATTATAAACAGTGGCTATATTCTTTCTGAAGTAACCGCACTCGAACATCTTTAGTACGTCGATTAAACCGCTCACATTTCAAACGGAATCGAAAGCAAATGTTTGATTTTAATTGATTTTTGGAGTCTTTAATGGCCGTGCTTCTTTTCTTCACACGACATTTTCGAATTAAAAACGATAAATTCCGGCAAAAGTCAAATATTCAATGAATAAATCGAGGTTGTTTTGCTTACCTGGTGGGCATTTGCATTCGTATGAATAGCGGTGGATTTGCTTGCACGTGCCTCCGTTTTGGCATGGGGATGGTGAGCATGGGATATACTTTGATTCACAGTTCTTTCCCGTGTAACCAGCTTCACAAATACATCTGAAATGAAAAGAAAGAAGAAGATTCATTAGTAAAACCGAAAAAAAATCCAATTTTTGATATCTGTCATCGGGTGCACACGAAAGCCAAACACACAATCGGTCAAATAAACGAAATGAAAAACAAGAGCGACCGAATGAAAAAATTGCGCATATAAAGTTCAATTCAATTTCATCTGGTTTGGGCCGCATCACGTTTTTATTGGATGAAATCCAATAAATGATCATATTTACTTTCCATTCATTCCACAGTGTTGTGTATAAAAGAGACGTCAAAATGGTTCGCAGCCACAATTACAGGATTTGTGAAGTGAGAAATCGCTACAACGACATTGTTTTTCAAAAGCATCGAATTATTCCGAAATATATGTTCGAACGTCTATTAGTCTCTCTCTCTCTCTCGCTTGCTCGCTCAATAAATGTGCAATGTTTCGTCGGCTCGCGTTCGACAGCAATTTTTTTTTCCTTCTTCAGCTAAATCGTGTGCGAAGCAAGACCAAAGCCAATCTTGATATGAATATTTATTGGATTGCCATAAATTGAACTATTATTAGCGGCCAAATGCACAGAGAAAGTGATCCATCTACGGTGCTCAGAGCATTCAAGCGGAAATTTTTTTTCTTCTAGATTTGTTGTTTTTTTTTTCCTTCGGCGCATTTTTAAAAGGTTGTTTGTTTGGAAATTTATCACTTTGACTCTAGCCAAGTTTATATATATTATACAGAATCGTCGGAGGGCACACAACACAACGCTGTAGTGTGCAAATGTCTTTTGTTTTCACTTGCCCAATCAGTCCGTTTTCAAAGTTCATCTGAATATAAACAAATTCATTTAATTCGATGGTAAAATTGCAGTTTTTTGTGCCATGCTCATTGCTCTTGTTTTTTTTTCTTCTTATTTCATACCATGCATTTAGCGTCGATGCCATGTGAACTATGAAATGTTTTAGATTGAGAATGGAAAACAAAAAAAAATCCGCATTCGATTGCGAAATCCGTTATGATTGCCTTCGGTGTAAACGTGAGTGCAAGTCAGATGATAGAACAAATTGGTCGATTTCTCATCATTTCCTTCAATACTATTCTAGCATTCGGTTTCGATCCATTGGGAAAATGCTGTACATGTCGCTGCGGAGCAACAGCACAGTGGAGAAAGAAGGAACACACGAAGCGAGAAATTGTGAAAAAAAAAAGATTTTTCAACAGAGATTTTACCAACAACTACCGACTTTGTACAAAGCGAAATGTGTGCGGTTGGTTATTTGGGGGTTTTGTCTCAATTTGTGCAAGACGGAAACTGGTCCGGCGAAGCGACAACGATAAATAAATTAGCAGTTGGTAGCCATCGCGTATGTGTGCATGTGTCAAGAAGATACAATAATGACCACTGACCGGCTTAAACAAGCTCGTATTTTTTGCGATTTAGCCAAAGGTACATAATCTCAAGCAAATGGAACAAATCACCGCTCCCGACAACGCTCAATTACAGAATAATTTGCGTGGTTCAACAATCGCTTCACAAAAACACATCCGAATCACATACACACACAACCTGACTTAGAATGATAATCAATGTTCCATTCGCCAAGACCAAAGCGGAAATCGAAAAATGGTTTTCGACGCGAAAAAAAAACCAATTGTGATAAATGAAAGAAAGATCGGTTTGCATTAATTTTGGGGTTTCGATTTTTCGGCTGGATTATCTCGAGACAAATATTAAGATTGTAAGCCTATCATTTTCGCTTGCTGATTTATTATCTTTGTTTTTTTTTTCCTCTGACTTTTCGACTTGTGCGATTCGTTTTGTCGATCTGCACACGTTCCGAATATTGATGTATGGTTTTGCTTCAATTACGATCGCGTTTTATAATTTCCACCATTCGGATAATTTTGCGAAGAGAAAAAAATGGCCAAATGCGATTAACGAAATCGAATCAAGATCGTAATGGAAGTTTTCCCATAAACGTTTTTCTTCTCCTCCTTTCATCCAATTTCAATCGAATTGGAAGCGATTTAATTGTTCCAGTGGCGCGCACATTCATAACATTTTTCAGCCGCCGCCGTCGTCGTCGTCATCGTTGTGCAGTTTCGTGCCTGACCTTTTCCTATTTTGTCAACTTTGTAGCAACCGCTTGACATGTCACATTTTATCGATGGCATGCAATTTACAATATTCAGTCCCATAATTATTTCAAATCTTGGGAAATGTACAACAAAAACGGGGTGAAAGCCAATCAAAAACAAACGCAAAAATCCGAACATGGCAAATAATGTGCGCTAGCAATGCTGATTTTGTAATAGAGAAAAGAGAGACAAAAACCGTAGGGAGAAAGAAAAAAAAACTGTCGTATCATCGGTAGAAAATCATTTGAAGTAGTAATAAACACGGCTTTTAACAAATAATACCGAGATAACGGCGCGTTGCTAAGAGCTAAACCGAAGCTGCAATCGAAGCATCAATAAACTAGCATCGAAAACATGATTCATTTCCAAATACATGAATCAACAACGGAATAAAAAAACACAAACAGCCAAAGACGACGGTGGAAATATATGGTTCGAACAAGTGAACACGTTTTAATCGTCAGCAAGTTATCGCACGTTCATTTCCACTTTTTCAGTGTAATCGAGAGCGCGCACATACAGGAAAACCAGAAAATAAAATCTACTTCAGTTCATCTCAATGTTCCAATATCATTTCAATCCGCGATCAGCTTTTTTTCCCTTTGCTCGTGTTCACATCTCTTTTTTTCTGTTTATCGCTTTGAAATGGTTTTACCATGAATAGTAAAGTCAATTCGAGCTACGATAGGTATACTGCAGCCACTGTAAGTCAGCACTGCATTGATCATTTCTATCACGAATCCATTGCAACATACGATCTCAAGAGCCAAAATGTACCATATTGAGATCAACTTAAAGGTTTTCCCTTTAAATGCGATCATCATTCTATTTTTTCTTGCGTCCTCTTGCGATTGGTGTCCGCACCATGTTTGTATTAGAATGATTCTATTCGCAGTTTTGAGTTCATCGAATAAATGTCATTAAAATTCATACGCGCGAGTGTGTAATATCGGGCCACGACAGTAGCAGGCAGAAAAAAAACACACGGCAAGAGATGAATTGACTGAAATTGCTTAAGCACAAGCACAAGAGCGCGCGCGCGCGATTATAGTTCATGTGACACAAGCGACGATGCAAGGCGATTTTTCAATTAACATATAGAGAGCATAATTTAGATGCATTTTGAGTTTTGCGCGCTGCGCTCGCATCCTCATTCTTGTTGTGCTGTGCTGTCGAGAGCGAGCGAGAGAATTGTCATATCTCTCGTGGCTTTTGTGAAAATTGGATGCATTGTGATCGCATGACCAAAGTTAAATGCTAAACAAACGGTTTCGCAGTGTGCATATGGCAAACAGGGGAATAAATAAATAAAAATATTGGAATTCCCTGCGAAAATAAACAATGATCAATTCATCGATGTGCAGGCTTTGTCTGGTCTCAGTTCTCTGTTCTCTGTGTTTTGTTGTCGTGGCTTTGGCTTTGCTTTTATTGTTTACATCGACGTTCCAATCGATCTTTTTCGGCTTATCCGCGAGACAACGAGCTCCTGAAATCCCTGTGTGTGTAGCCAAAACAACAGCCAGCCAGCCAGCCAGCAAACAATAATTCGATTTTTCGAATCGACCGTTGTGTGATCACATCGTTTGCTATTCTTGTCTGTGCCTTATTTTTCCTCTGTGCTGTGCTG